CAAATTTTTGGAAATACGAAAATCTAGGAGTTTAACAATAAGATATTATGGGGTCACCGGTGGAACTTATGGAAATAAGAGGAGTAGAATTATGAAACTGTAACAGTGTAGAGTTGGCAGAGATTGAAATATAACTTTCTACCCCAGTCACCTTAGCTAATCAGTGACACAATAAAAACAAAATTAGTGTGGTGTAGTTAGGAATAAAGTGAGGAAAATTAAAACACAGTGAAATACAGGAAGGACCATCTCAGGCTGTTCGTCATCAGGAGGAGCTGCCAGAGGTCACTGGTTTCTCCAACACACAAGTTATACTTTGTGTATCAAACTGAACACATATTACTCTGTTAAATAAATAAAAATGTGATCCACTGACTGGATTCGTTCAAAAAAATAAGTGAACAATGACCAGATTCAAAAGCTGACAGAGTTTCTAACACCCAAATGGATTCGTTGAAAAATAAGTGATTCTCTGACTGGATTCATAAGATGACGGGGTTTTTAGGCACCCTGATCAAACACCCAAACAACAGTTACTGCCAGCAGCAGTAACATTATTCCACACACATACACATACAAATAGAAACAGATACACATACAAATAGATAGATCTACACTTTAAGGAGGTTAGTACCATATACAGTATAGCAACCAAAAACTACATCATGAAACTCTGTGTAGTCTGCATGCAGCAACAAACAGGCTTCTGCATGGATTACGTGCAACTTCTGCGGGAAATGGTCCCATGCATTTTGTGCAGACATTAAATCTGGGAAGTGTTTTTGGGCATGCCCAAATGAGAACCAACTGTGGGAAAAAAAAATCACATTGGTATTAAAAGACAGAAACATCAAAACCACCTTAATAGAAAACCTGACAGCATTCTATAACAAATGGGAAAATAAAAAGACTGGGCCAGATGGTGTTATCACTCCTGGTGCAGATGTTGTCCTGGCAGACAGTACTTGTAAGAATACAGAAATAAAAGTTGGTGGGCCCCGAGGAAGACAGGAGCTCTAGTGTGCTGGGAAACAGGTATAGACAAGGACATGCAAACCCCAAAGTTGCAAACTAGCAATACCACTGGAGACGGTAAACAAGGGGATGCCCCAAGAAATAGTGAAGATAAAATACCAGAAAATAATGGTGAAGGCACCATTGTTAGTACAAGTGCTGAAGAGAGTAAGGAGACAGAAAAACATGCACCAGTAGGGAATCCAGCCACGAAAAACCAAAGCAAACAGAAATCAAACCTATGTCTTAGGTATCTGCAGGCATGGAATATCTGGAAAAACAGATGGACATGCAACTTTGACCATCCCAGAAAATGTCGTGCCCATATGACAACAGGAGAATACAACCTTTTTTCCTGTAACGTTTTTCCACCCTGAAATGTGTCACTCTTCAGTTCAGGAAAGACAGTGCTATAACTTATATTGTCAGGCACACCACCTAAAGGGAACAAGATGATACAGAACATCCAGACCATGGGAAAACCTGGATAACCACAACCACTCCAGAGGTTTTTAGAGCCAGTTAGGAAAAAAAGCTGGCAGGAAATGACAGAAATCGTACACCAACTCAGATCACTTCTGGAGCGGAATCACAGTCAATAGCCTCCACTCCAAAACAACAGATATTAGTGCCAAGAAAAAAGAGACCCCCTACACACCATCAATACAACGACATTTATCTTTGCAGATATACAGGGTCTAAAGCCATCAACGAATAACAAATGCCTTTCATCCGTGGACTGCTTACAGAGTCAAACACAATGTTCGCAGTTTTCACAGAGACCCACATATAGGTTCACTCTGACAATGAAATATGGATCCCGGGTTATACCTATACAGATGTGACAGAGTGAACAGGCAAAAGGGGAGGGGGAGGGGTTTGCCTGTACGTCACAGAGTCAATGATATGCTCGGAACTACTAAACAATCTTAAATGATATTGTTGATGTTTTGGCAGTAAAGGATCTCAGAACCAAAACCTGGTCATTGTGGTTGTATACAAGCCTCCAGATGCAACTTCCCAACAATTCCAGAAGTAGCTTTTGAAAATATACCACTGTCTGGAAAATCTTCCAGCTCCTGCCCCTAAGACATCTAAAATGGAGGAATGTAGCAAATAATGCTGTAGCAGAGATAACCCCATGAAGTAGCTCAGATGAAAACTTGCACACACAAACGAGCTTTTAAATTTTCTGCACCAAATTCACCTTAAACCAGCAAATAATAAAGCCAACAAGATTGGAGAATACACTGGACCTCATCTTCACTAACAATGATGATCTAATATGAAACATTACTATATCAAAAACAATATACTTAGATCACAAAATAATAGAGGTTCAACACGTATGCGTGGGGCCCCTGACCAACAAAATGTGATCAGTCACGAGCGAGCCCTCACCAATTTCAACTTCAATAACAAAAACATACAGAGGAACCAAGTCAACCAGATCCTAAATGATATAAACTGGAAGATATCCTAAGCAACACAGATCCAAACCTATGACTAGAAAAAATTAACTCTGTGGCACTCGAGGTATGCTCAAGGCATATTCCTTTAAGGAAAAGGAAGAGAAGATGTAAACTAGAAAGAGAGGCGCATCCTATACAGGTGAAGGTGAAGAATAACAGAGCGGCTAAAAGAGCCCAATATATTTGTAATACGAAGGAAGGCACTGGTCAGAGAAATAGCAAACATCAAACTTAAGCTAAAGGAATCTTACAGGAGTCAAGAAATGTGGGAAGAACTAAAAGCCATAAGTGAAATTGAAAGAAACCCAAAATATTTCTTTTCATATGCCAAATCTAAGTTTAAAACAACATTCAGTATTGGGCCCTACTTATACAAGATGAGTCCTACACAGATGACAGCAAGGAAATGAGTGAGTTACTCAAGTCCCAATATGACTCAGTTTTTAGGAATCAAAGGCTGAACAAATTTTTTATGAGTCAGATTCAGAATTTGGGGAATTCAAACCTATCTGATATTATCCTAATGCCAAATGGCTTCAAAAAAGGCAATAAATGACATGCCATGCACTCTGCCCAGGCCCAGACTCATGGAACTCTGTGGAACTGCAAGAAACCCCTATCATGTGCTTTTAACATTCTATGGAGAGGGAGCATGGATGCAGGGGTCATCCCACAGCTGCTAAAACAACAGACATAGCCCACGCCATGAAGGAGGCAGTAAAGCAATAGCAAAGAACTACAGACTGATAGCACTAACATCCCATATCATCAAAATCTTTGAAAGGTTTCTAAGAGCAAGATCGCCACTCATTCTAGATACCCATCATTTATACAACCCAGGGCAACATGGTTTAGAGCAGGTTGCTCCTGCCTGTCCCAACTACTAGACCACTCTGACAAGGTCCTGGATGCTCTAAAAGACAAACAAAATGCAAAAGCCTTTGACAAGTGTGACCATGGTGTAATAGTGCACAAAATGCATGATAAAGGAATAACAGGAAAAGCTGGTAGAGGATCTATAATTTCCTAACAAATAAAACACAAAGAGTACTAGTAAACAGAGTAAAGACTGAGGCAAACTACTGTGAAAAGCTCTGTTCCACAAGGCACAGTACTCACTCCCATCCTGTTCCTCATCCTCATATCTGGCATAGACAAGGATGTAAGCCACAGCACCGTGTCTTCCTTGCAGATGACACCCAAATGTGCATGACAGTGTCCTCCATTGAAGACACTGCAAGACTCCAGGCAGACATCAAAACCAAATTTTTAAATGGGCCACAAAAAAACAATACAAATTTCAATGATGAGAAATTTCAATTACTCCAATATGGAAAACGTGAGGAAATTAAAACTATATCAGAGTATAAAACAAATTCCAACCACACAATAGAGCAAAAAACTAATGTAAAAGACCTGGGAGTGATAATGTCAGAGGATCTCACTTTCACAGAGCACAACACTATCAATCGCATCTGCTAGAAAAATGACAGGATGGATAATGAGAACCTGGAATATTGCAGCACACTAACAGCACCCTTCAAGGGATGTGAAATTGCTGACCTAGAAAATGTACAGAGAACCTTCATGGCACACATAAGTATGATAAAACACCTAAATTACTGGAACATTTGAAGTTCCTTGACCTGTACTCTCTGGAATGCAGGTGGGAGTGATACTAGTGATTAGTACCAAATCTGCACATGAAAATCACTCCCTATGAAAGCAAAAGACTCTGCAGAAAATGCAACATCCCCCTTAATGAAAAGCAGGGGTGCCACTAGCATGATAAGAGACAACACATTAAGTGTCAGGGCCCAAGACTGTTCAACTGCCTCCCAGCACACATAAGGGGGATTACCAATAGACCCCTGGCTGTCTTCAATGAAGGCTTTAGACAGGCACCTAAAGCCAGTACATGATCAGCCAGGTTGTGGTTTGTACGGTTTATGTGCAGCCAACAGTAACAGCTTTTGATAATCATGCCTTGATCCATCATGAGACCTGGTCACAAACCGGGCCATAAGGGCGTTGACCCCCAACACCCCCTCCAGGTATACTCCAGGATATTAAGACGTAAAATAAACTATCCAAATGTGGTATTATTATATGGTGTACAGGAGGGCTCTTGCTTAAACAGCAGATTAGGTTCCGCAGTTTGCTATTGCTGTTAAGCAAAAATTGCTTTAAATTAAAACAGCTTTTTTTTTCCTTTCAAATGCATATAAAAGTTTGATAACACATCTACACTAATATTAAATAAACAACAGAGTTAGGCTTAAAAAAATGTATATACAGTACACACATTATTTGCAATAAAATATTTTCATCATTAGCTTATAGTGAATAATGAACATATTTACTGTAGGAAGTTTCAATAAATAAAGAATGGGTATAACTGAAAATCACTGCATTGGCAAAACGCTGTAAGAGGAGCCTTCCCATATTTGCTAGTTGTGAATATTTTTTATCACAATATGTATGTTTTAACATAATGAATAACACATAAATTACCTTTGTAAAGACCAAAGAAACTTTCGTTTCGAACAGTTTTCAGAGCACAGTCCCATGTTCCTGTGTACAGTGGCTTTTGACCTGGCTGGGGAGTGGGCTGAGTTTGCAATCGAACCTGCAAAACAAGATAGAACTCAGTAATATTGATATTAAAATAACCTTAATAATTATTCTAATCAAAACTAAGAGCTAAACCACAAGGGTCATACAGACCTTTCATATAAGTACTGTACAGTATTGCCATTTGATAAAGTGTTAAGAGAGACTAAAACAGGAAATAAAGTACAAGTCAAAAAGAAATTACAAGACACATCAAATGTGTTTTAGAACTCTCCAACTCTGGTGCCTGGTGGTCGTCCTGGTTATTGCTGCTCGCAACTTGCTGCCCCATATACACATCACAACCTGACTGATCTGGCACACGGTAGAGGAAATTGTCAAGTTTACTCAGTATACCTCTCTCGACTTCTACACTTGTTCCAGCAATGTTTCTTATATCTTCTAGCAAGACGTTAAAAAAGTCTCGACTCCCTTAAAATTGATACTTTGTTCTTTTATTGGGGCCCAAAAAAAATTCAGTACAATATATATGGGTGGAACATAAGTCAAGCATTTGGAGAGAGGGGCTTTTCACTGCTACCCCACCCCACAACATTTTTTTTGCCCAAAAACGAGAAACGGGTATTGCAACTTTTAAGTTTTATGGAAAGAATTAATAGAGGGTTTGCGTATGTCCCACTTCCGTAATCCATCGCTGTGCTCTGCTTTCCCAAAACCTCTTTTACCCGAGAAAGCAGTAACCTGCAGCATCCTGACATATTTGGTGAATACAAAAATATTACACTATTATGGGGCAATAATTTTACTGTAAAAAATTTTAAACTTATAAAAAAAGTTTTGGGGGAAAAATTTTTTTTTTTTTCGGAGGGGAATAAATTTTTTAATTTAAAAACATAAATACAGTAAAAGAGCAAGGTTACTGTGTGTTTCTTGACTGTTTTCCCCTTTTCCCACCGTATTTCATGAATTTGGGGCGTGGGAACAGAGGGGGGGGGGGAATGTTTGGGGGAAAGGTGTTTAGGGAAGAAAGTATGGTAACTTACATTTCTGTGATGTGGTAAAAAACTCTGATGTGTTTATTTATGTTTAAAAATGTGCTGAGTGACTTACATGTCCCTGACATGGGGCGTTTTAACATATATTTGACGTTTGGTTATTAATGTGTAGGTGTTTTTTTACACGTGGGCATTTGGGTTAAAAGTAAAATGGGTGGGACACGGTGAATTCCCCGTTTGTGAATGTGGCGACTTTCAAATTTTACAAAAATGCAGTTATGTTTTATTTGGGATGTTAATGTACTTTTTGGGGCCATTAGTGGGGACCCTTTCATGGTGATGTGTTTGGAAAACATGGTTTTGTTCAACCCGGGGGAAGTGTGGTTGGGCAATTTTGTGTGAAGAGTAGTTTTAATGGTGAACCGTAGTGTATGATATACGTGAACCCTAGTGTAGTGATTACGTGAACCTTGTGTAGTGATAAAACGTGAAACCCTAGTTTTAGTGTATACGTGAACCGTAGTGTAAATGACATATGTGAATGTAGTTACTAATATGTGAAATGTGGTAACATCCCTCAAAGCCTTCATTTACATAACTAAACCCCCCCCCCCTTTTTAAGGGTCCAAAATGGAAGGAAAGCAAAAATTATATAGCGTCTGGGGAATTGGGGGAAACATTTAGGTTGATCCCCCGGAAAAGGGGGAAAATAAAATTCAATTCCTTTTTATCAAGAAAACCCTTTACCACATCACATTTTGTCCTCCAAACAAAAATTTAAGCTCGAAAACCTAAACCCCGTGTCCCAATTTTTTCCCTTTAAAATTTTTTTAATACATACCCTTTAGTTTGTTTGTAAAAATTTCATATACTGTTTTTCAATTTTCCAAAAGCAAAAATCCCCCTTTGTATATTATGAACAATTTAAATTTCGCCAGGGCAGCCCCGGAATACACACGTGACAACCTCAACCCCCAAAACGCGCCCGGGTTTAAAATTTTTCCATTTTTAACTCGAATGGCCCTTTTTCAAGGGGGGCTCCTTGGGGTGGTGAAGGGCTCTTGGTCTGAGGAATTAGCCCTGTCGGTCTTCTTCCTCAGACCGAACCTAATTACCCCCCCATTCTCCCCTCCCCTATCCCATCCTCCCCATCCTCCCCTTTTTCCATTCCTCCTCCTCCTCCTCACCCCTCCCTTTTGCCCTTCCTCTTTTTAGCCTTCGTGATTTCTCCCACAGGCGCGCTAGTTCCTAGGTAGGGGAAAGGACACGGGGTCCATCCCATTCCGTTGAGGTTTCTTGGCGGTGGCGTAGTTTGCCGTGGATCTGGATTGCCTAGGGATGTCCCGATCCCTCTCCGGTATCCCGGAGTAGCTTTGGGTGTCTTTTGGGCGACGGGTGTATCTCTGGAAGCCACCTTTCGGATTCCGGGGGTGGTGGCTGAAGGAGGTATGCTTTGTGGCGGATATCCGGCCGCCCTCTCTTTTGTCCACCGAGGTAGCTCGGCAGATGTGAGGTTGCTATCCCAGATTGCTGGTTTACTGGCATGAAGGGTAGGGTATGGCACGGGTTCCATGCTGCATCTGCGCTACTAGCGGTGTCGAGTCCTCTTGGGCGCGGAGGGAGATTTCTGGCCCTTTCATTCCTCCTAGGAACTATCCCTCCCCGGTCCCCCCTTTTTTTTTCTTTTTTTTGTTTTTATTTTCTTTTCTTCTTTCTTTTTTTTTCTTAAAAACAAAAAGAAAGAAGTAACCTAACCATGGCAGCCCTAGTCCATGAACCTAGTACCCCCGGGCCCCTTCTTGATACCGCACCCCGTTCTGACCCCGCCTCGTCTTTGGACCACTCTTCAGACATTCCTCATGCCTCTGTACCTATTGCCGGTGCTGTTTCCTCACCCGCTTCAGGTACTGAGGCCTCGACTGACTCCTTCGATTTATCAGACCTTCGCTCTCCTCTGACTATGCTTCCGGCCTCTCCCTCTACGGTGCGGCAATTTTCAAATCGCCGACCCGTTCCACGTCGGACCAACTCTGGTCCCACGCCTAAACGTCAACGACAATTACCTGCTGATGATACTTCTCCACCTTCACCTTCTCGTTCTTCTCAGAAACGATTGACACGTCCTTCACTACCTTTCCACGCTCAGTTTCAGACTGAACAGTGGACTAAATTCTTCACTTTACGACCAACTTCCTCTACTGCCTATCTTTTGACCATAGTATTGGCAAGGCACTCCTACGCCATGTTGGTAAAGATATTTCTTTTCATGCTCTTAAGAGCGGTACGCGCATCATTACCGTACAGAATGCTACCCAGGCTCGTGAGCTCTCTCGTCTTTCCCATATAGATACTGTTCCTGTCACCCTTGAAAAACATCATTCCCTCAATTCTTGTAGTGGTACCGTTATTCTGCCCCATACCATAGTTCAACAAAATTTCAGACATGTGGCACCGACATTCTCGAACAGCTGAGAACTCCAAGATCTCCCAATCCTCAAGGTAGACACTTACGTTCTTCCTGCCCGTGGGCGGAGACGATACCCTAGCAATGTGGCTCGTTTAACTTTTGACAGCCGAGAACTCCCATCCTCGTTTATATAGCAGGACATCGGTTACAAGTTCGAAAGGTGATCCCTAACACCACAACAGTGTAGAAATTGCTGCGATTTGGCCATCCAGCGAAATATTGCAGATCTATCGCCGAATGCCCAGTCTGTGGTGCCGATGACCATTTAATACGTCTTGCAATCGATCTCCCTCTTGCCTTAACTGTCATGAGGCTCACCCTTCGTACTCTCGCCGTTGTCAGGTCTATTTAAACGAGCGGGAAATCCGTTACCTCAAAGAGACAGAAGGTCTCCCTTATGCCATGGCAGTTTCTCATCTCCGCCTCCAAGGGAGACTCCCACGTGTTTCTTATTCCCGTGTTTCAAAACGTCCCCCCACTTCTGGTATCCCATCTTCTACACCCACCTCTGTGGTTACCTCTCCCATAATCACTCCTGTATCTAATCCTTTTGCTGTCCTCGGCTCAGACGTCCCTACTTCAACGCCTCAGTCTAATCTCGCTTCTTCGAGTTCTCTCTTACAAGCCTCAGTATCGACGAGACCTCGTACGACACCTCTTCCCAATCGTCCTCTACTTCTCAAAAGTCAAAAAAAGGTCCGGTAACACCTCCTACCCATCTTCCACCTCCTCATTTTACCCTCCCTGTCTCTGTCCCTAGTTCTTCCCCTCTCACTGGCTCGGTTACAAGTGCAGAGGTTCACCCTCCTCCTCGTAATGTACCTTCCTCCCCTGTTCCCTCCCAAGTTTCTTCCTCTTCTGCCACCTCCCAGGTTCCTGTCTCTTCTGTCCCCTGCCACGCTTCTCCAGTTCCCTCCACCCTTTCGCCCCCCCCTACCTTGGTACAGTCCAATACAGTTCCAATCTTTACTCATCCTCCCCCTACCATTCCCAATATTGTCTCCCATACGACATCTCTGAATTCCGAAACACTTGAAGCAATCTCTGAATATATTGCAGAGACCAAACCATCAATGGACACTGATCCACCTTCCGCTCTTTTCTCTCTCCTCTGCTCCATCTGCGCAACTCCTTTCTTCACAGCGCAACCGTTCCTTCGCTGCTTGAACATTTTCCACTACCTCCGCATGTGGACTTTTCTAACCCTTCTAGTCCGTAGGAACCCTTACCTGCGGATTTCAAGTATCTTTATCATTGCCAATCATGGCCTTTTTACAGTGGAATATACGCGGCCTCAGGGGTAATCGGGGTGAGCTTCAGATGTTACTCTCCCAGTTTGCCCCTGTTGGTGTTTGCTTACAGGAACCAAAATTACACTCTGCTGTTATTTCTCACATCTCAGGCTATAATTTGTTGTATTCTTCAGATCCTTTTCCTGATGGGACCTTTAATGAAAGTGCCCTTCTTCTCCGCACTGATATTCCGTACCATCAACTATTTATTCATACTTCGCTGCATTACACAGCAGCCCGTATCCACTTACATAGGTGGTATACGCTCTGTTCTTTTATATCTCTCCTCCTTCTCGGGCAT